GCTGGCAGGCCCACAGCGACTCCACCTCGCAGAAGGTGCTTAGACGAGCTGATGGGCTGACAGGCAGTGGCGGAAGAGTGGAAAGGTGGCAGATGGGAGGAGGTGGGACAGGGAGGGAGGGTGGGAATTCAGTCTCTTGCTCGGCGAGCATCACGAGATGTGCTGGCTCGGCAGTGCTGACGTGGAGCGCAGGCTCGGCATGAAGTGACTCCGGCAGAACAGTCTTGGCAGAACGAGACTAAGACAGGACGGTCTCGGCGGGCCGAGACTCAGGCAGGGTGGTCTCGGCGGGAGGAGACTCAGGCAGGGCGGTCTCGGCGGGACGAGGCTCAGACAGGACGGTCTCAGGCGGGACGGGACTCAGGCAGAATGGTCTCGGCGGGACGAGAATCAGGCAGAAGATGGTGATTGAGTGGTGATGTTATCAGCCTCACCCACGGTGAAAGTGGATCCACTCAACCACAGCACATGATCCAGGTACTGAGCAAATGTGCCTGGGACTGCCGCCGCTGGAGCTCGCTGGTACAGATGGTTATCCAGTCCGCCCCAAAATACTGTTTTTAGGACTTGATCTGTCCAGCTTACCCTATCTGATATTTCCAGGAATCCGGCAACATATTTCTCGATGAAACGGCCGTCCTGAAAACAATGGATCAGACGATCGGCTGGGGTTAGAAGGAAACGGGTAACTTCCATGCTTCTTGTTTGGTCGGTTCTTCTGTCACAGGTGTGGTGCGGGTTGAAGAAGAGGCAGAGTCAAAAGGCTCCAATTCAAACATTTACTAGTAATCCAAACAGGGGCAGAAGGTTAAGATGCATAAAACACCAGGTAACATTCACAAACCCCGAAACATTAGCAAGAACCAACAAGGATTGACTGAACAGAGGGAAACTAAATAGAGATACAAATTAACACTAACGAGGTGAGGACAGGTGACACGGATGATGATGACGATGAACAGGTGTGTAATGAGGGAGTGAGTTCAGGTGTGAAGACATGAGGGATTCTGGGAAGTTTAGTGAAGACGAAGACAGAATAGTGCAGACGATGACTGTGACATAACTCCCCCCTCCCGGTAGGCGTGACCTCACGCCGAGGAACATCAACAGAGGTGGGCGCCCTGAAGGCTGATCAGGGCCTGGCCTCACAGGAGCAGGAAGCCTCCAGGGCGGAGCAGGCTGGGCAGGCAGCCAGGGCGGAGCTGACAGTTCAGGGGACCAGGGCGGAGAACACCCTTCGGGCGGCCATGGCAAAGAGGACCCTTCGGGCGGCCATGGCGGAATGGAGTGGCCGAAGGACCATGGCGCCATCGCAGGCTTGGAAGACGGGAGCCGCGCCGCTGATCTGCAGGACTGAGGATGTGTCGTAGGCATGGATGACCGGGGTGAGGGAGGCTGACTGGGAGTCCAGAGGTGCCGAAGGGGTGCAGGGTGAGTGAGGGTGCAGCCCGAATCCCGGAAGTGGTAGAAACTGGACTTCGACCACCGAAGGCCGACCTGGAGTGGCGAAAGAGCCCAGCGGAGCTTCCGGGCAGACGGACCGCAGAGGCGATGACGGAGTCGTGGATCTAGGTGGAGGCGACGGGCTGAAAGGTCGAGATGAAGATGTGGGCTCTGAGGACTGAGGTGTAGCCAGGGACTCGGCCTCTAGCTGTGCTGAAGACACGAGGGATTCTGGGAAGTGTAGTGAAGACGAAGACAGAATGGTGCAGACGATGATTGTGACACATAGGTTAGTCTAGAAATTCCTTCTGTCTTTGATAGAAGGACTCTACCTCTAAGGGACAAGTCCCTTAATAACCAGAGATTAAATTTGCTTTTAATCTTCTCAAAAGCAGGATTGAAATTAAAAAAAACTCTCTCTTGCTCCCTTTTCGAGACAACAACTCCCAAATAATTAACAGCTTCTTTAGCAGGGATACCATCCATAGGTACAAGGGAGGAGCTTTTCAAGGCTAATATTTCACATTTTTTAATATTAAGGTAAAGACCTGAGGCATTTGAAAACAGCTGAATACTTTTAATTGCCTGATGAACCTGGCCAGAGTTTTTAAAAAATAAGGCTGTGTCATCGGCTAGTTGACTAATGATTTCCATTACACGAGAGTAGATGTTAAAATTTCATGCTGATTTGTACTCGGCATTCGCCAAGATAAGCACAAACTAAGACGTAGCTTTACAGTAACCTATGCTTCTCCATCCATTTACGCTTCCTTCCATATGGTGATGTGAATCTCCTTCTGTCCGGCGTTAACGGCTGCAGTGTACTTGGCGCGTCAGCACACACAACGGCTGCAACTACAGTGTGATCTCCCCAGTGGACCAGCACGACAACCGTCTGGATTGAGCCGAGTAGGGGACATCTCTAAGGTCTTTAATTTGGGCACCTTCCGTCCTCAGTTTCGTCGACTAGCCCATGACACCTCAAGAGGGCTCGACAGTGACTCTGGCGTCCCAGAGTCACCCCCCTCCGTCCCCCACTCAACTCAGCCCAGCTTACTGACCTTTACATCCCTGCTGTTGCTGAGGTTGCTCCTTCCTCGTAGTTCACATGTGACCTAACCACAATCTCACGATCTCTCCGCAACCCAACCATACGCGCCAACCCGTTTGCCTGTGCTACCATAAGAAAAATATATACCGAAACTGGACACCCCTGCCGAATTCCTCTTTCTAGAAGAAATCTCTGGGTTATGCCATGCCCTAATTTCACTGCTATTTCCAAGCTATTTCCTCCTGCATACAAAGTTTTCATGGCATTACAAAAATAGGGCCCGAAACCAAAACGTTCTAAACAGAAAAAAATTAAAGGATGCTCAATAGTGTCAAAGGTCTTAAAAAAAGTCCAAAAAAAGAATTAAACTGTCATCCTCAATAAGATTAGTGTAATCAATGAGGTTGAAGACAAGCCTAATATTATTGAAAATATGGCAGCCTTTCATAAAACCTGATTGATTTTCATCAATAATGGAGTTCAAAGTCAATTTGAAACGGCTTGAGAAAATAAGGGCAAACAATTTATAATCATTATTAAGGAGGCTGATGGGTCTCCAGTTGTCTAAGAAAAGTGTGTCCTTTTTAGGCTTAGATATTAAGCAAATGACACCCTGCTTCATACTTGTAAGCTCAGAGCAATAAGCTCTCTATATGCACTTCGAGGAGGAAAGGGGATATAATCTCAGAATAAGACTTGTAAAATTCAGCCATTATCCCGTCGTTACTAGGTGACTTGTTACATTTTAGTTGAGAAATTGCTTCCTTAACCTCATCAACAGTAATTGGTGAATCGCAAAAAACTTTTTCATGCTGATTAATAGAATTAACATAACCAAGGTGCTTACAAAAAGTATCTAAATCAGCTACATTAAATTTATAACTATACAAATTTGAATAAAATTTATAACAATATTGGGAAATTTCTTTAGGATTTTCTGAGACAGACCCCTCAATATTTAATTAATAAATAGAATTGTATTTAGCCTTATTTTTCTCAAGTTTGAAAAAATAAGATGACATCTGTTCTCCAAATTCTAGCCACCTTTGGCTTGACCTAATGAAAGCACCTTCTGCTCTTAATTTATACAAATCATCTAACTTAATTTGCAAGTCAACTACATACGCTCTTTGACTATCTGACACATTTTCAGGTAAAATCCTGGTAATAGACGAGATTTCACTGACAACTTCCATTTCTTCAAGCCGTTTTGAATTAGCCAAATTAGAACTATATTTTCTTAAAAAATTCCCAAATTCACATTTTAACAGTTCCCAATTGGTGCCAAATGAATTTTCTTGTTTAGCTTTACTCCAATAAATCCCAATTAGACTTTTCAGCTCTGACTTAACCTCATTATGGTTAAGTAATGAGCTGTTCATCTTCCAATAAGAAGAGCTCCTGTTACAACTAGCTTCAGGAGAAAGCAACATTTTAATGCAAACAGCCTTATGATCTGTTAATGGAGTTGCCGAGATATAAACACAAATATTATCTTTGTCGAGATTCTTGTGGAGACTAACCAAAAATCAACTTGTGAAAGTCTAGATGAATTTTTATTGCTCCATGTGTACACTCTATCATTTATGTTCTTGGCCCTCCATATATCTATAAGCTCGAACCTATTCATAAATGCTTTCAAAGCAGAGTTTGAATTTGTTGGGCGACCATGCAGGTGGCCACCTATCAAGGGATTCATTTAAGACAACATTAAAGTCACCACCAATCAGTAAGTAGGCGTTTAGAAATGTTGACTGCCATAAAAAATAATAACTGATCATTCTCAGATCTAGAGTTATACCCATAAAAATACCCAACAACGATAAGATTCACATTGTAACACTTTAGAATCAACAAAATAAAGTGCCCATACTCATCACAGTACGTATGTAAAACATCACCTGTAAAGTTGTTTTTTTTAAACAAGAAACCCCTGCTGAATGCTCCGAACCATGAGAGAACCATATCTCGCTACCCCACTGATATTTCCAAAAAGTTCTATAATTATCTTTAGAGTGAGACTCTTGGAAAAAATACAAAGTCAGAACCAAACTGTCTGGTAAACAAAAATAAGGCCTTGCGCTTAACAGCATCTCTTAAAGCCTTGGCGTTTAAAGACAAAACAGAAAAAGACATTTAAAGAACACAAACACTATTAACCTGCTTAAAGACAGAACTAGAGAATCAAACAGTTATTGAAAATAGTTCACAAAATCGAAAAGTGCTGAAAAAGTTTAGCTAACAGCAGCACCATTAGCACTCGCGGTTTTCCTACGAGTCCTCACTTTCGTGACGTAATGCCGCTTTGACTGTCGGGAAGAAGTCTGCTGTGGAGTTCGCATCAGTGCGGGCTCGGCAAAAGTGCACATCAAAGGGCGCATATCGGCCGCAAAGCGGGCGCTCGCCAGTTTAGATTAGTTAGCGCACCTGTCCTTATTTAACTTGTGTATGATTATATTTTCCTTGCTTATTATATTGTTGTTTATGAAGAGATGATCAAACTCACCTGATACTGTCAGTGTAACTTCATCACTGAGTTGTGAACTGCGTGATCCTTTAGTCTCTGTCCCATAACAGAAGTATTTTCCTGCGTCAGACTCAGAAACAGAACTGAATGTGTGATTCTGTCGTTCACTGAAAACACTGGTTGAACCATCTTTATACCAGTTGTACCACCAGCTAGTGACTCCTTCATCATATATGTCACATCTGAGAGTAACCGAGTCTTCTCTGAATACATGATGATCAGGTTTATGCTCACTCTGGTTCTATATAATTGCAACAATAAACAGTTAAAATAATGTGATAAAGAACATAAATAATAAGTCACTTTACAAGCGTCTTATGAATCAATTTCATTGTGTTCTCAGAGCAGTTCATTATGAGAAAAAACACTTGCCATGTATTGTCACTGGTACTGGTTTACTGTAATGTGTGTAATATCCTCCTCTTTGTGCTCTGCATCTGTACTCTCCTCCATCAGAGACTTTCACAGGATCAATTGTTTTAGTTGCAGCTTCAGGAGATTCAGTGTTTGAGTCTTTAATCCAGAGAAACTCCCATCCATCCCATGACTGATCCAGCTCACATCTCAGAGTAACTGAGTCTCCAGTGAACACTGAACTCTGTGGCCGTACAGTCAGAGTCGGTTTGGGAACATCTGTCAATATAAAATCATTGGTAATTTAGGAGCATGAGCTCTGAAACGTATTCAACAGATGATCTCATTCTCTCACTGGCAAATTATTCATATATTTTGATTTCATAGACAATGCGAGAAACATTACAGGGTCAAAAAGGTCAACATTATGGGACAATGCAAAAACTTAAAAGACGATAAAGTTTCAAAGCCACAATCTTTGTGTTGATAATCCAGAGCTCGACTCACAGGGCCAGATGTACTAACGGTTTTGCGCCCACTTCAGGCGTATTTGTTTCGCAAAGTGCACATAAAACCATGGCGAGGTATGTACGAACGGGACGCACCGAGATGAAAGCGCAGACTGCCTGTCGCGGGAACTGAAAATGGCAAAATGCGCTTTTTGTGTCATGCATTTGCATTCATGGGATGGTCAAAGGGAAAGTGGGAGTGTCACATATTAAGAGATGGGAGGGGAAGCGTAAACTGCGCCTAATTATGTTTCCCTTTCGTAGTCACTTCAAGTTACGTCGAAATGACGACGAAATGGGGGTTTCGCTTAGAAGCCTATCACCTTCGAGTGTTAAAAAAACGAGCCAATGGCAAAGAAACGCCATGGGTCTGCGGAATTTGCATAGCGTAACTCCGCCCCACCTCGTGGGTATATAAGGAAGAACGCTGGCAGAATGCAGACATGTTTCTGCTTCGGAGCCAAGAGGTCCTCTTCACACCTACAGCCTGAATTCTCTCTGAGTGTCATCGAGTATCCTTTGAGACGAGCAGCTCTCCAGTCTTTGTTGGTGCAAAGGCGATTTCCAGCGAGTTTCACATTCCTGCCTGCTGATCTGTGCAGTGGTCTGCATCCAGCATGTGTGTTTCTCCCTGGCTGCTTCAGCACAGGCTGCTGAGCGTCCTTTCACAAAAGATCTTGCACGGGCACGTCTTTTTCAAGATGTTTCGCCCATGTATTTCTGGGTGCGGTCGTTCCGTCTCATTATCTGATGGGCATGATCGTTGTCTTGCGTGTATGTGCTTTCGTCGGTTTGCTTTCGAGGGGAAGGCATATCAGTACGCGGTTCTCCCCTTCGGGCTAGCCCTGTCTCCTCGCGTCTTTATGAAGGTCGTCGAGGCAGCCCTTGAGCCGCTTTGGCTACACGGGGTTCGCGTCCTGAACTATCTCGATGACTGGCTAATCCTAGCTCACTCTCAAGACCAGGTTTGCGAACACAGGGACCTAGTGCTTTGGCACCTAGCTCGTCTGGGCCTTCGGGTCAACTGGGAGAAGAGCAAACTTTGCCCCGTGCAAAGGATCTCTTTTCTTGGTATGGAAATCGACTCGGTCGCCATGTCCGCGCAGCTTACGAGCGAGCGGACGCAGTCACTGCTGACTTGCCTGCGTCAAATCCAGAGCAAGAGTGCGGTTCCACTGAAACTATTTCAGAGGCTCCTGGGGCATATGGCATCCGCAGCGGCAGCCACACCGCTCGGGTTGCTTCATATGAGACTGCTTCAGCACTGGCTTTGCGATCGAGTCCCGAGGTGGGCATGGCAACAGGGCACACTCCGAGTACCAGTTACTCTGACCTGCCGTCGAACCTTCACCCCGTGGTTGAACCTCAGCTTCCTACGGGCCGGTGTGCCCCTAGATCGAGTTTCCAGGCATGTTGTTGTCTCAACAGATGCCTCCACCACGGGTTGGGGTGCCATGTGCAGTTGACATGCTGCCGTGGGCTCCTGGACAGGACCCCAGCGCCTTCTGTATGTCAATTGCCTCGAGTTGTTGGCAGTACAATTGGCTCTGCACCGCTTCCATGCGTTGCTCTAAGACCAGCACGTACTAGTCCGTCCAGACAATACCGCGTCAGTAGCGTACATCAACCGTCAGGGTGGTCTACGCTCCCGCCGTATGTCGCAACTCGCTCGCCACCTCTTATGGAGTCAGAAGCATCTGAGGTCGCTTCGTTCTATTTACATTCCAGGAGACCTGAACTGTGCAGCCGACGAGCTCTCGCGGATTCAGCCTCTCTCCGGTGAATGGCGACTCCATCCCCAGTCGGTTCAGCTGATTTGGGAACAGTTCGGGGACGCTCAGGTAGATCTATTTGCCTCCCACGACTCCTCCCATTGCAGCCTGTTTTATTCCCTGACCGAGGGCACACTCGGCACGGATGCACTGGCGCACAGCTGGCCACAGGGCCTCCGCAAGTATGCATTTCCCCCAGTGAGCCTTCTCGCACAGACCCTGTGCAAGATCAGGGAGGACGAGGAGCAGGTCATTTTAGTTGCGCCGCACTGGCCCACCCGGACCAGGTTCTCTGAACTTGTACTCCTCGCGACAGCACCTCCCTGGCCAATTCCTCTGAGGAAGGACCTCCTTTCTCAGGGACGGGGCACCCTATCGCACCCTCGACCCGATCTTTGGAACCTCCACGTGTGGCTCCTGGACGGGACGAGGTAGGTTTGAGTACCCTACCACCAGCGGTGGTGGCTACCATCACTTCCGCTAGAGCATCGTCCACGAGACATGCCTATGCGTTGAAGTGGAACATCTTCGTCAACTGGTGCTCTTCTCACTGAGAAGACCCCACGATATGCCCGATCAGTGTCGTGCTTTCCTTCCTGCAAGAAGGGTAGGAGCGAAGGCTGTCTCCCTCCACCCTGAAAGTTTATGTTGCCGCTATCGTCGCACATCATGTTGCAGTTGAGGGTAAGTCCATTGGGAAGCACGACCTGGTCATCAGGTTCCTGGAAGGAGCGAGGAGACTGAATCCTCCTCGTCCTCCTCTCGTACCCTCTTGGGACCTCTCAGTGGTTTTAACTGCCCTGCGGAGTGCTCCCTTCGAGCCCTTGCAATCAGTGGAGCTTAAGTTCCTGTCGATGAAGACAGCGCTTCTGGTTGCATTGGCCTCCGTCAAGAGGGTAGGGGACCTGCAGGCATTTTCCGTTGACGAAGCGTGCCTGGAATTCGGGCCGGCTAACTCTCACGTGATCCTGAGACCCCGGCCTGGATATGTGCCCAAGGTTCCTACACACTCCCTTTGGTGAACCTGCAAGCGCTGCCCTCGGAGGAGGCAGACCCAGCCATGGCACTGCTCTGTCCAGTACGCGCTCTCCGTGCCTACGTAGACAGGACGCAGTGTTTCAGGACCTCAGACCAGCTCTTTGTCTGTCATGGTGGGAAGCTGAAGGGAAAGGCTCTCTCCAAGCAAAGGTTGTCTCACTGGATAGTGGACGCCATTGCTTTGGCATACCAGCAGCAAGGTTGACCGTGCCCCCTTGGTGTGAAAGCCCACTCCACCCGGAGTGTGGCTTCCTCTTGGGCTCAGACATCTGCAGAGCTGCAGGCTGGGCGACACCTAACACATTGGCGAGATTCTATAATCTCCGAGTGGAGCCAGTGTCCTCTCGTGTACTCGCTTCAACTAGCCAGTAACTTGGATCCGCTCAGGTGTCTTCGCTTGCTCGCCATTCCACTCCACGGACTGGATACGTGCGATATTCTCCTCAGGTGAGTTTCCCCGAGAAGCCCTGTAGTTCCTCCCGCACTGTTGACGTCGATGCCAAGGTTATCGCCTTGCTTTTGGCTTGCTTAGTTGGGGATATTTAATATTCAACAATATTATTGAACTGTGTTGTACTACTTTCATGTTATCACTGTGAAGCTGCTTTGATGCAATCTGTATTGTGAAAAGCGCTATATAAATAAATGTGACTTGACTTGACTTATGCCCCCGGCAGCTTTCGCAGTTGGCTAGGTGCCTCCATGTGCATGGTTCCCCCGCTGGGTGACCCCCACGTGTGTATTTCCACTGTAAGCCCACTTGAGCATGTGTCTTCCCTCGGCAAGCCACCTTGCCACCCCTGGAGTTGAAAGATTCCACCCTACGGGCTGGACACTCCAGTGTTCTTCCGTATGCTACCCTCTCTCGGGCCATACGTGTATTCCTAAGACCTCCCTTCGGGCGGGCATGGTTTGCATATTTCCACTGAGATATGCTCCCCAGTGTACCTTGGTATTCCTGTGTTAAGTGGGAGTCCTTCGGCCGTGCCAGTCTCACGACAGGGAGTTCACACTTACACAGGGCACTGGAAGACAGCCGAGAGGTGGCCTGATTAGACTGGTACCCCCATTTCGTCGTCATTTTGATGTAACTCGAAGTGACTATGAAAGGGAACGTCTCGGTTACGTATGTAACCCTCGTTCCCTGAGTAGGGGAACGTAACGTCTTCCTGCCACTTCCGCTGTTCCGCTGGAACGCCGAGCTCAGTCTTGGCTCCTCAGCAGGGAAACATGTCTGCATTCTGCCAGCGTTCTTCCTTATACCCACGAGGTGGGGCAGAGTTACACTATGCAAATTCCGCAGACCCATGGCATTTCTTTACCATTGGCTCGTTTTTTAACACTCGAAGGTGATAGGCTTCTAAGCGAAACCCCCATTTCGTCGTCATTTCGACGTAACGTCTCCGTTCCCTACTCAGGGAATGAGGGTTACATACGTAACCGAGACGATTCTGCATTATGTACAGAAAAAGCCGGTGAAAGCGCGCCTCTATTTTGCGCTGAAAATTCTCTGCCTCTTAAAAGCAGGTGTAACTTAGGAAGCGGGTTTCCTTTTTCTTTTTTTTTATTAAACACACTTATTCACAAAACACAAAATAAACAAAAAAACACAATCTCTCGTTGGGAGACTCATGTGCAGAACATAGTTAAACACAGTCAAATAGAACAAATTTCGATAAAGAAAATAAATACAAAAATATAAAATAAAATAAATTAAGCAAAGGCACTTCAGTCCATAAGGCATGTCAAAGTTATTCACATACATTTATTGTCCTCAGTCTTCATATATTCTTAAAATAAAGTTACATGGAAGCTTTACAAATTATAATGACAAATATTTTGAGACATCTTCACATAGAGAGTAAATGTTATCACTGGAGTCTTTTAGAAGTTTCAAAGAAGCAAAGTATTCCCTCAGTTCAGTTTTAAACACCATTAGGGATGGATTTTTGTTTTGCCA